GATCATGAAGGCCTGACAGAGTATTTTTTTTTTAATTTATTTTTTAGTATTTGGCAGACACAACATCTTAGTTTGTATGTGGTGCTGAGGATCGAACCTGGGCCGCATTCATGCTAGGCGAGCACGCTACCGCTTGAGCCACATCCCCAGCCCTGACAGAGTATTTTTGTTGGACATTTCTGATTGAAGTAAAATTGACTTGTACTTACATTAATATTTTGATTACAATCCCAGTCCAGCAAATTCTAGTCCCGTTTTTCCTTTTTAAAGTGATGGCTAGATCGAATTGGTAATGTTCAATGTTTCACAAAAATGGTGAATGCTATCTCAAAGCTGGCTTTATTTTTAGGTTTCTATAACTGATCCTCTGAACATGATTAACTATGAGGGAACTCCCTCCACTGTCTCAGAACCAAGCAAGGTTCACAGGTGTTTCAATTTGTGTTCATCAGCCTGTGAAAGGCAATAGCTGGAGATATTTATAGTTTCGTTGACCAGGTCAATTTAATTAAAATTCCTTGTATTTAGAATGCTATGTTTTCCTTATGGAAAGGCATTTCAGTGGGCTTTATGTGTTATATTAAATAAAGAATATTCAGCACTTCTTAAAAAAATAAAAGGAAAAGAGAACACAGCGAGGGGCTTCTGGGTCAAGTGGGAAGGACAGCAGTTACCCGCACTGTCCAGCATTACCCTGGCTTCCCCCCCCCGTGAATGGCCGTGGGGTGGCCTGGGCTCCTGGGGTTTGGAGGGCTCCTCGTTCTGTAACCAGGAAAGGTACAGGCAGAATCAGTTGTCCTGAAGCCCCTTCAGCCCTCAGGACAATCAGGTTTCCGGTGTCCCTGTCCCCAGCAGGGCTTGAAGGAACGTCTCTGTAAGGGACATGGTGTTTCCAGTGGCTGGGTGTTGGCAGAGGTGGCACATCTGGGGTGGGAGGTTTTTTGAGGGCAACAGAACTGGATTTGCCTTATAATGCAGGGGGGGGGGGCTTGCCCCTCTCTTTCTTGGGCTCTTCTTCTCTAGGCTTCTAATTCCTTCTCCTGTTCCTTGGTTAAAATACGTGGAGGTCGCTATTTTTACAAGTTCATCAATGGGAATCCTGGGACCCAAAGCTAATTGCTGCAGTTTTTTTTTTTCCTGATGTCTGGGGCTGACAAAATGCTAAATTCATCTTTTAAAATTAATTGTCCTTCTGAAGAGTCTGGACTTGTAGAAGTATATTTTATGAGTGGCTCCTTAGTATGCTCAAGAAAGGAAATTGGACTCTCTCTATCTCTCTATTCTATCTTGCCAGTTTGGCATAGTTTAAAGGCTTCGTTCAGCTCTCTCTTAGTCCTCCACTTAAGCAGATCAGCCTTTGTCTATCTTCTTCCTCTCCCCAATTCCAGTCAGGGGGTACAGGAGAGACTGCAGTAATTCCTACAGGATATTTCTAATACACAAGATGGATCTGATCTCTGAATGTTTGAACTGTTTTTTTTTTTTAAATCACTTTCTCTTTCTGTAGTGGCTGAAGTCTGCCCAAACATCACAATAGGTCTTTCCAAGTTAATTCAAAAGCTTAAGTAGTACAAGCTTTCAATATGTTGTCCTGGGTCTCCTGCAAATTTGCCCAGATCTTGCCTGATCTGTGTTAGATCCTTAATTGAAAATGGGACATGTATCCATGTAATGCCAAGTTCCCCAGCTGTCTTTTGTAAGGGGCATAGGTGTGGGACCAGGGTGTGGTGGGCTAGGCTCTATGTTAGGAAGGGCTGTGTACAGAGAAGCTATTGGGTTTTTATAATTTTGACTCTGGGGGAGTTGAGCAAGACTCCTCTCCTAACTCCTCTAACCCTTTGGGTGAGGGGTTTTTTAAAGCTTGGGAACCATGGAAGGATTCCACCCAGGCTCATTTATGAAGGTCTGAGTGGTCCTTCAGGAGAAAGAAAGCTGTATGTTTGGAAGTTCTCCCCCATTTCCCTTTGCTCCTGTAGACCAAAGAGTATTGTAGTTTAGACTGCCATCTAGTGGACAACTGTCTCCATCACTTGGTCTATATTAGGCTAGGCACCATTACATAGCAAAACCAGCATTCTGCATTTTAAAAGCCTCAGATTGAATTTGTCCCAGGTTTCCAAAAATGCATCTAGGAGAAGCGTTTGCTAGAATCAACTTCTGGTTTCCCATTAGTGGAGAGAAGAGAAAATCCATGAGACGTGGGTGTCCCCTGATGTTCTGGGACTTGCCATGGCAACTTTCTCTTATGAAGCTGAGTCCCTGTGGTAGGGGGGCTCCATTGTGTGGTCTCTGGAGCAGAATATAAAGGGGAGACCTGAGACCTGGTGTAGTTGGCCTGTCCAGGTCCCTGTCCTGCTGTCTCCCCTCCCTGCTCTAGAGCACAGTCCCTAGTACAGTTCAGGGCCGTGGAAGGAACATGCACAGAGAGAGAGGAATCCATCTGGGCCAGACTGAAAATAACCGAGAAGCAAAGAAGGCTGAATCAGAGCATGAGGCAAGGTTTATATGGGGCACCTCGACCCAAGCGGGTGGATGGGGAGTGCTCTTGACCCATGATGTTCTGCTGGTCTAGAGATCAAAATGAGAGGGTCAGAAGGAAAGAAAGAAGTCCTTTTACCCTAATAGGCATTGGCATTCAGGAACTTGTAACCTCAGTTCCCTGCTCCTGTGACACCATGGAAGGACTTTGAGTGGGACACAGCACAGTGAGCAAAAGTGAGAAAAGAGGGTGAAGTCCTGCACAGGACCTGCATGAATCGCCCCTCAGTGGGAGGACAGCTGTGACATCCTTTCAGTGACGAGGCAGGGAGCATCCTGGTGACCTCGTTCCCAGTGAGGGTGGTGACAGGGTTTGGAAACAGTCTCCCTTTGGGGCTGTAACCCACCATTGCTGGGGGAGGTTCTGACAGACCAGGACCCCTCTCCTGAAGCTTGCTGCATTAGGTAGTTTCCCCGGATTTTAAATGATGGTTCCCTCAAGGGACTATATTCCCTACAGCGTGGGAAGGCTGGGCATTGGGCTCTCCTGCTCACAGGCTTCCTGTCCTGCTGAGGCTCCCTGCTGTTTTGGTTTTATGACTCATGGACTTTTCTTAATGCATATGCCTACCTGCATATGCCCCTCCTTCACCGACCTTTCCCCACCTAAATAACCTACCCGACATTATCAGAAGCCAGGTGCATTTCTAAAGCCAGGCTGCCCTCACCGTGACTGCCCAAGGTCAACATCAAGGATAAAACGGCTGAGGGGTCACCCAAACAGCAAATTCCCGGGACCCTTAACTTGTTCCTTGCATGATGTGCTTCCTTCCACTCCCCACCTGTGTCTCGTAACAGCAAGACGTGTAACATTTGGTGCTAGGGTGACCAGCTGACTACTGCTGGGTGACCAGCTCACCCAGAAAAGGAAAAACACTTTTGAAATGCAGTTAAAGCCAATTAAAATTCTTAAATTCTCATCCACCCCTACTGCCCTTACACACGAATAAAACTAGCTTCCTTCTTTGGGGAACTAGTGTGACACTCTCTTGGTCAGTGCTGTGTCTTCCTTCTGCTGGAGCAAGAAGTCCCAATACTTAGTCACTTATTTAGTCACAGTGGTGCCTTTATCTGAATGTTCTGATGGAAAGCACAAGAACCCACAGAACTATTAACAGAAGCATCCACTAAAACAGACAAGGATTGTGTGTTCATGGGAAGCAGTATCTCTAAGGGTCACCATGCTGTGCTCTCTGAGGATATATGATTTCACCTCCTCCTTGCTGACTGTTAGTCAGCTATCCATCACTGTAACAAATACCCAAGGTAATCAATTTATGAAGACAAAAGGTTTCTTTTGGCTCATAGTTTTGGAGGTGTCAGTCCATGGTCATTTGATCCTATTGCTTTGGGGATTATGGTGAGATAACACATCATGGCGAGGGGTACGTGGTGGAGCAAGAAAGGAAGAGGGCCAGTGTCCCAGAATCCTCTTTGGTGACACACCGCAAATGACCAAAGACCTCCCACTAGGCTCCACCTTATAACGTTTCCAGAACTTTCCAACAGTGCCATGCTGGGGGAGGCCATAATGCATGGGTCTTTGGGGACATTTCAGATCCAAATTAGAGCAGTGACTTCTATCAGCGGCTGACCCAGTACAGTTGGTATATTTTCATGCTCTTAGTAGGTAAGAGGCCATTATTTCCCAGAGAAAGATAAAATGAGAGTTAACTTTTCCCTGAGTTTCACATTATTTAAAAATAAATGTAGTGACTTTAACAACCCCTTTAAATAGTCCAGAACATTCCATTTGTCTTCCTTTCCATTTGGGTAAGGAGCAGTTGTGTTTATGTACTCCAATTTCAGATTTTTCTGTTTGCTGTTGCATCTCTCAGCCACCAAATCTGAACGTCTATATGATGTGTAAGTCCACAATTGGGTGCAGAATCCGAAGTTAGTGAGTTTGTATTTGCTGTATTAGCAATGTAAATGTGTAGGTCCAATTGCGTTTGAAGATCTCCTGGGAGATCTATGAATATATTTGGATCTTAAATTTCAGATAAATGTTTAACAATGAAATACACAGAATGTTCTTTGGGTGGGGGGACCAACAAGAGCACACAGAGAGGTCTGTGAGTCTCCCTCACCTCTTCCACAACAACAAAATCTGAATGAGACCTTGCCTCTGTTTCCAGAATACTGAGTTAATTTGCACTTTGCTGTTTACAGAGAGTCACTGGAGGTGAATTTACATATTGGTGCTATGTGCCCTGAAAGGCCCGTTTCTGTGGCAGAGGAAACAAGACATTCAAGACGGATTGTAAAGGCATTGAGCTCCGAGGACCCCGGGCCCTTGCCTGGCACAGTCCCCCATTATCTAGAGCCCTGGGGCTCCAGCTGGGCTGTGGCCTGGCCTCTCTGTCCCAGAGGCTCTGGCTTGGGTCACAGTATCTCGATGGCCACTCTGAAGTCTTTTTTTAATTTTATTTTATTTTCTTTTTAGATTTTGATGACAAATTTTAATTTTGAAATGTTAACTTGAAACTAAGCTGATGTCATTAAAGCTGACCACCACTGTGACACCACTAACATGTTCAGGTCCTTGCTTCAGGTGTGTGGCTAGAACTCCTGAGCTTTCTGGGGATTCTGCCTGTGGAGCGAGGGCTCGGACTTGTCGATGGACTTGGTGAGGTTGG